CGATTTATCTGTCTAATTAACAAAATAAAAATCATTACTCTGAATGATACTAAAAATATCATTTGAGCAAGCGCATTTTTTTTTCAATAATGCGTACATTTAAAATCATTTAAGAGTTTGTTTAGTTAAAGAATCTTCTTTTTTTTTATATATATAGCTTATTTTGCTAATATAGCTTATAACAAATTAAATAATTTGAAAAATATGAGATTATTTACAAGATTTTATAGGATTTAAATGGGCGCCGAATCAATGTTGTTTTTCTTGTCAATGTGATTGATTTGAAAAAAATTTTTAAAAATTTTTTTTACAACAAAGAAACAATACCTATAATGGTTATTATTTTCATTATATAGCAGATTGCCAGGTTGTGTAGTTCTCGGCACAAAAAAACGTTTCGTTAATCTCAGTTCGTTGTTTCGACGATAATTATTACCCGTTCCAATCATATCCTCCTTAAATGCTTTTCGATGCCGCTGCAAATTCGCATTGCAACATCCGTTTTATTTGCGATTAGCGAATTAAGTACGGGGAAGAAAAAAATAAATTTTCCATTTTTTTCAATTATAAAATTCGAGATTTAAAAAGTCAAAGATTTCATATTATGAGAAATATTTAATGTTTTCCATTAAAATGATTGAAACAATGAATTTCTCGGGAAATAAGCAAAAATCAATTATAATTGTAAATATTTGATAAAAAGAAAAGGAAATAAAATAAGCATAAAAAAGTGAAAATAAAATCAAATAAAAGGAAAAAAGAGTGAAAAATGATGATGAGAAAAAGAAGGAACTATAGCGGAGTGCATTTGGAAAATTTAATTTAAGCTTATCTTTGCAACATCATTGTTAGCTTATGTTAGTGGCTGATAACTGATAGCTAATATTTTAAAGCACTAACGAATAAATGCGAGTAGTGAATAATGAGAGCAAAATTATTGGGTAGATTAATTAAATAAATTAAAACAAATTGATTAGTTTTTTTTTTTCCTTTTTTGTTTTTTTTTTCTGAGTGTTTAACATTAATTATGAGTAAATAAAATGAATATTGTGAAAATATTTGCATTTATTATCATATTAATCATGCTTGTTGAATTGAATATGGTAGTATACTATTCTTCCGATACGATGTATAAGAAGATCCTCAAAAATTAAACTTTACTGTAATTAAATCCAATCTTTTTGCCTAATTCACCGATGATGTTTGAAGTTGCATTGAATTTTTACTCAAAGCATTTTTTTTTTTTTTTT